ATAATATACTTCCTTTCTTACATTCCTAATATGAAAAATACAATACATTTGTTCCTTTTCTTTGCTCTTCACTATTGAACCAATTAATTTGCACGCTTTTGAAACATATTTTGTTCAATTATGATAATATTAGTAAAAATCAATCAGAAATGATCACAATAAGAAAGCAGCAACTGAATATATATATTTATAACTTGTACTGTTAACTGTTAAATAAAATTGAGACATTTCTACATTGTTGTATTGAATAGAGGAGTAATTATTTGTTTTGTTTTTTTCGGGCATAAATAGGAAGTCAGTTGTTATTTCTTGATAAATTATTGTACAATTATCAGATCAAGATTTTTTAAAACAAAAAAACAAGAAGAAGTATACATACCAAGTTCTACAATGCAGCTGTTTGGTTGAAGTTTATGATTATGATTGTTAGCTTCAAAAAAAGTAATTCATAGTAAATTAATTGTTAGAAACAAGTGAATTGGAATGTTGAAAATTATTAGTTATTGATTGTAATAACTGGAGTTTTTGAGAAATCATACAGCATCATACAGTAAATTGTTTATGTAGAGATAATACTTAGAGGAGGACAGTTAGTTTTTAGTGAGACAAGTGTTCCGGTGAAAATTTAGGGTAAGATGATCATTAACCTTCTATATTGATAAAAAAACTTTTCGATTACTGATTTAGTGTCATATAAATTTGGAAAACTCACTGATACCGTAGAATTATGACATGATATGAAGTAATGATGACAACAACTGTAGAACTTGATTTCTGAAAACTTTTAAGGATATCGCTTGTGATAAGAACTGTTGTTGTTACAAAAAGGGAAGTATTTAGGAAGCAATTAGACTGATGTATCTTCAACTATAAGAATTATTTCTTTTGTGACTTAAATTAACATAATCATTGTACAAACTAAGTAAGTTTGTGTTTGATTTATATTGTTAAGGGTTGTTTTAAAATACTTCCATATTTTGATAAAATTGATCATTGAAATTCTTTCAGATTTAACTGAATGATAAGTGACTGTTTTATATTGTGGCTGTGAGAAGACTGTTCCAAAGAAGGGAGAAAAACAGCAATACAAAGCTTTATTACTTGCAAAGATCTTTATAGAGGTCTGTTTAACATATAGGTTGTGTATACGTCAAAGATGAATTTCAGTAGTGTTAACACTGGAAACCCGGAAGTACTGAACATCCACTTTGACCTAGTGATATGCTTGAAACTATTACGAATTCACCTTACTCGGTAAACGAGAGGGAAGACAAATGATCCAGAGACAGTATAGGCTATTCTGATCCGACTGTCCCCGGCACTACTAACTAGATCAAGAAGTCTTGATAAGGCGTAGAGAATCTGTTCTACGAGCACCCAGAAAATACGGGGTGTCTAAGCACACAAATCGAGCTATTTACACATGATAGAAACGTCCTCGGTAGAACCACAAAAATAGCGCACTAAAATAACACATCAACCAATGACAGTCAAGAATTATCCGAATGGGAGATGTAATCTCACGGTCACCTGATCAATTGATGCGTAAAAATCCAAAATCCAAAATTAGGACCTTTATCAAGTGAGTTCTGGGGATCTAAAGTCCCCAAGAGAAACCACCATAAAATTATGTTTCAGTGCGATCTAAGCAAGACTTCCAAGAATATATACATACAAAGTTCCCTATTATATTTGTGATACAATTTTTACATCACACAAATTATCCTGTTATCAAAACCTTTAATCAGATAATTAATAAATTTAACCAGTAAACATAGTTAACATACGTTATTTTTGTGGCTCTCCCAAGGACGTTTCGATCATGTATAAGTAAGCACAGTTTGTGTGCTTGTTTGCCTCAAATTTTCTGGGTGCTTGTAGAAAACACTTTCAATCAAGACTTCTTGCTATAATTAGTAGGGCTGGGTACAATCGAATCAGAATAGCCTATCGTGTCACTGTATCATTGCTTCGCTCTTCTTTACCGAGTAAGATGAATTTGTAATAGCTTCAAGAATATCAACTGACGAGCGTATCAGCTTCCCAATGTAGATCTCCTTTGGTACAGTTAAGGTACTTTTGACAATAAAACATGCTTGAAATTAGTTTTCTTACAGGAGTGCATTTTACTTCTTAGCCATCCTCATGTTCTTATATTTATTTTTTATGATTTCACTAATAGTACTAGTAATTCAAAAGATCGATAATCTTCTATTTACTAAACATTTGGATGAATTCGATTGACTATTTCAATGAGTCTTATGACCTTCAACTTTTCTGTGTCCACTAAGTCGAATTAACCGATTATGGAGTCCACTCAGGAGGAGTTCATTCGGATTTACTTTAACCGGTAACTTTCATTTTTGTCAAAAAAACACAAATGATGGCCAACAATTATCGGATACTGATACATTCAACTTTTTCTTTTCTCAATAGGGAATCAGAACATGAAGACAGCTAGCCAATTTATTCTCTGGAATGACGACTGAAAAATGCAAGTGATAATTCAGATTTCAAAAATATAAAGAAAGTAGAATTTGTGTATAGTGTTTTTAGCGTTTTTTTAGCGAGTTGATTTTCTACGGGATGAAGTCGCTAACCCGATGCCTAACCTTACTCCATTGTCCAGGCTTCGTACCGGAAGTAACCCCTGAAGGGATCCTGGCGGAGTTAGAATTTTTGCATGACTAGGCAATATGTGATACTGGGGACGTTGGATCCCCAGAACTCGATTGATAAATGCCTTATTTTGGATTTCACGTTTGCAAGCACGGGCTGATCAGTTGACCTTGAGACTTCATTTCCCACCAGGGAAGTCCTTGGTGGTGATTGACTGGTCTGTATTTTAGTGTGCTGTTTTTGTGACTGTCCCAAGGACGTTTCTATGATGTTGTGTGCTTGATTGCATTGTGGTTGCTGGATATTTGTACAATATACTTTCTACGCTTATCAAGACTTCTGTTTTGTCGTTTTCGGATCAAGTTAGCCTACCTGGACGCTGGTTCATTGTCTCGTTTGCGTTTATCGACTAAGGTGAACCCGTAATAGCTTCAAGCGTACCTAGTGACGAATCTAACAGATACAGGACTGAGTCATTTTTACACAGTTAATAAAGAATAATGTAAGAAAGGTAAAACATCAATACCATAGTTAATTGGTTAAGTGAAAGCTGTTAATTAAAACAGTGGAAAAACTTTACAAACCAAAAATTTAATAATCACATTATAGAATAGCTTATGGATTACTGTCTTTTTCACATATTTTCTTCGTATTGAACGATTAGAAGTTTGAAATCATATTGATCAATAAGTGATGTGAAGTTTAGTTTTTAATAGTACACATATTCAACATACACATGAACACTCTGATATATCATGAATGTTTTCCTTGATTACGTATTAGCTTACTTAAATCGTTCATCATCGTCATCATCATCATTGAGGTAAATATAAACTATGATGATAAGACTAATGATTATCATGAGATCGATTTCGGTCTACAGTTTCAATCAACACACAGATTACTTTCATTACAGAGTTGTGAAGATTGTCGTGCATCATTCATCGTTAGACCATACTTAGAAACCTGTAAGCACTAGACTGCCGTTTCGTCCTACTATGGGATTAATTATCAGTGCCCGTTCACGATCCCCGCTGGCAGGATATGCTCACTAGTGATCAACTTTGGAGTTCTAGTGAGAAGCGGTGGATAGTGGAGTTTAATCTTATCGGGTTTAGCCACCTATCGATCGAAGAAAATCGATGAGGTTGTGGAATATCATGGACTGATTGAAGTTAGACATTAACACCTTTGGATCCCGGTCTAGTGGTGTAGAGGTTAAGCGTTTGAGCTTGAAACTGAACGTCCAGAATCCGATTCTTGAGAGCGGGGTTCATGAATGCGCACTATTAGTAAACCACATACTACGGCGATCAGCTGTCCAGTGCTTCCAGGTTTCTAACGGTGCTCTGTCAATGATCGATTCATGATTTCAATGAGATACTGATTACTATCTTTGAGCCATATATGATTTGATATGAAAATAATAGCGAAATATGTATTGATCGATCAACTATTGTCTAACTGGACTATAAAAATCCAATACATGTTGTATAATCAAACATATACAGGGATAAAAACACATCTTGAAGAATAAGTGATGAAAAGTCGACGATCAGTCATTGAGCGTAATTTCTAAAAGATTATTACATCTAACTCTCAGCCGTCTCTTTTAAGTTGATAATAAAACTTTGAATGTCTAAATGTGTATCCATGGGATTTGTCAATACATAGTCTAAGAAATCTTATCTTGTTGGTTTTCACATGGTCTGATAACAAGTGAAAATTATTATTATTATTATTGATCACACTGGCTTTAATACTATAGACGTCTAATGATTGGGTTTATTCAACACTTATTGGACATTTGTACATTTTAAGACGAGTATTTTAAACTTTTACTGTGTTTTAACACTCCGAACCCGACAAGTTGTAATGAAAACACAATGACTATTGGCATGGATTTGTTTGGCTGTGAAAATCCAACGAAACGATACACGGAAATATTCATTTATTTACTGATTCTACACGTACTTGATGATTAATTAGTAATCATCACACCTAGAGGAGATATAAAGAATTATTACAAAAACCCGAATTACACATCATATCGAATAGATCTCACACCAAATTAAAGCCAAGAATATTGTCTTCAATGTTTAAAAAGTATTTAAATAGTCACAATGACTACTAACTAGCCTATGCATTTGAACAACCTATCATATTCACTTCGTAAATCATTTGATTGGTCGAAGTCAAGTACATCTGGATGACCTTGAGTTTTAAAAATCTGGAAAGACTATGTAGGTGTAGTTGGATGATAGCACTTAATAATTTTAGAGCAACATGATGAAACAAACTTGACAGCTACAATGATTTCATATTACAAATGAAATAATTGTCACATGTTATTTTTAAAATCATTTTAACATTTTGTTATAATGATGAAATTATGTTATTTTATATTAATTATATCAACATTTAAACATTTCTTTTTTCAAGCATCAAAATTATCTGATTTCATTCAAACATGTCGAACAAATTCTCCACGTAGAATGCGAAATCTTGATCAACAAACAATTCTTTTAATGAATCAAAATTCTAAACCATGTTGTCTACCAGATACATGGAGAGCACGTTTTCTTGTTCAAACAGTTAAAGGTGGTCGATATTTGAGTCGGTTAGATCATGGTGCATATCATATTAGTCATAAATTAGATGGATCAATAGATAATGCTTTATTAGTTGTTGGTCGAAATGTATTTTCTACAGAATTTTGCAGTATGAATCATACAGAAAATTCCATTATTCTTAATCATTTATGTCCAAATGATAGTATAAGATGTTTACAAAAACCATTTCTTGGTGAACCAAGATGTATGACAGAAAAAGATGGTTATACATTGAAAAAATCACGTTTATCTAATGGTAGAGGACAAATTAAAGAAATATGGTTTATTGATAAATATGATAAAACATTTGGTGATATACAAAGACATTTATATCATGTAATTCGTCAATATGGATTATGTCAATTGTTACGTTATCAAATACAATGGGGAAAGTATACAATGCCATGGAAAAGTTGTCGTTTATTTATTAAACGTGAACAAACTTATACACCGATAGCTGGTTCATTTCAACATCAATTTAATCATTCATTAGTTGATGATCTGTTATTCTGTTAGCATTTTCTATGATATATATATATATATATATATATATATATATATATATATATATATACCATAATGTATATTATTCTACCTAATTTCTTTACTTAACTATTGTCAATACATTTAAATGTGAGCTGTTTATTTCCACTTATTTTAATGATTTAAGTGTGGGTAATTTTCCAGAAAGATTATTTTATTTTCAAAATTTCATTTTGCATTAAAAAGTATTTCCAAGATATTTGAGATAAATAATTTATATGGTAATCTTTCAATGAATTGTTATTTATAATTGTGCAATGAGTTACAAAGTTTGTATCATTAAAAATAATCGATCGATAAAAATGAGTCATTCTAGTCAGGTGTTAGTGTTCAAAGTATGACCCTGAAATTTGATTGGATAGTATTTATTAGACAGTTCGTTATTTAAAAACTATATATAGTTTTTAAAAATTTAAATTTCGGTAACGTTTCTTTTAAATTAGCGGTTACATAAGTTGTTACATCGATAAGATTTATATATAATAATAGTAGTAGTAATAATAATAATAATCGATTTTTCAATATTTCACTCTTTTAATGAATGAATTTCGAATGTATTTCTGAGACAATTCTGAATTTAAAAACATTTTATTTTCTTTCAAGTATAATAGTTATTAGGTACTTTATTAAATTTCACAGAAATAAGCTAAATTTTCAAAATAGATATGAACTGATAATAAACCAATAAAAAAGATTTTCCATTAGAATTTACATGATATTGCTTTGCGATGAGTATTTCTGAAATCAGTCTAGAGTTATTTGATTACAGTTTCACTGATACCTAATGGTAATCCGTTTAAGAGAGAGTTAACCGATAATTCAGTCAATCAGTCATCACGATGGCTGTGGTTGATAATGAAAAAAACTGCCTAAATTAGTTGGAGATTATGCCCTAAAATTATTCACACTGACACACATTTATGTCTTCTTTGTTTATCATTAGATCTAGAGTTTTGAAGATTATTTTGATATATTTCTTAATTTTTTCAGTGAATGTGTTGTTCTTACATTATGTAATATGTGACTAATCTTTGTTCAGTGTCGCCAAGATTTCTACTGCTACACCTGGTGCGTTTGTATTGAATTTTGATCATTGTATCTGATTGTTTTAAAGTAATGTAGAAATTTGGGTGAGGTTCATTGTTGCCCACCACTGATTGAGTAATTAAAATGCAACTTATTTATATATCCTTACAGTTTTATATATATTTTGCCATTATTTCTATTCATGAGTGAACAATAGATGTATGGTTGAAATTTAAAATTTAAGACTTATGAAGCTTAGTAGATGAAATTTTTCAAAAAAAAAATACTATCCATGTGACATATTTTTTTGTATTTCTAAAAGTATACATATTTATATGAATATTTTTTTCTTTTTGAAAACCAAAATTCTTTAACATTGACAATGTATAAGTTACATGAGTGTCCCGTTGTCATGACTGTGTACAAAAAAAAAAATACACACTACCATAGAAATGTCTATGAAATGATTATAAAAAAAATCTTGAGATTACAACATTTTAAATGATTTTTAATCCATTTATATAAAGTCATGTCAAAGCATTGTCAAACTGTCATGAATTTTCAAGTTGACAAACAAATACGTTTATATATATATATATATATATATATATATATATATATATATATATATCGTAACAGAAAATAATTATCGTTAAGCTAGCACAAGACCCCCAATGGTAATCAAGTTAACTATCCTAAATCCTGCTTCTACAAATACTATAAAGACGTTAGGATAAAAATGAGCAAATATTTCTTATGTTTCGTGGTTCAAGGTCTGATTCCTGTTTGGCGATAAATATTCCCTTTGATTTCTGTATATTACATTTCGGCCAATACCATTTGCACGATGGTTCTAAATAGAAAGCCTATTACAGCTTTATGTGTAAACAGACAATCAAATGCGAAGTGAATCGGAGAAGCAGAGTGATGAAGCAATGATTAAATATCTATAATTAGACAAATACACTAGACATGTTATAAGAAAAGTTAGTAATGCTTATATACACATTCAATAAAAACAACCACGTTATAAGCGAATAATTCAAAAGGTCCAAAGACGTGTGAATAACTCCTGAAGAAGAGTGGATTAATTATTTTGTCTATAACCTAGGAACAAGCCCTATCAGCTCGACATATTTACTATACACTAAAAACGAAACATGTTTTTCTTTCATTATCATAAGTTATGCATTTTCACCCATATAATTCATGTTTCAATTAAACTGATTTATATATTTACAGACAAAGATTTTTGTTTTGTAATACTTGTTATAAGGAAACTGTATTACGGGGTTATGAAGATTGTTAAGTTACTCATTGAAATCATGAACCGATGAATGTTAGACTACCATTAGAAACCTGGAAGCACTGGACGGCCATTTCGTCCTGGTACGGGATTCATCAGCAGTGCGCAGCCACAGTAACTACCGAAGATAATGTATGAGATTGCGCAATTACATGTGCTGACTAGTGACTATCTCCTGGAGGAATTTTCTCCGAATTCTAGTGGGAAGTCGTGACTAGTGAAGTTCAACCTGTGCGGTTGTAGACAGTAACTACCGAATACTGTGTATGAGGTTGCGCAACTCCGTGAATTGATCGAAGTTAGACACTAACACCGTTAGATACCGGCTCAGTGGTCTAGAGGTTAGGCGTTCGCGTGCAAGACCGAAGGTCCCGGATCTAAATCCTGCGAAGTGCAGTAGTCGTGATGCACACTGTTGATGAGTCCCATACCAGGTCGAAACAGCCGTCCAGTGCTTCTTCCAGGTTTCTAATGGTGCTCTAACATTGATCGATTTATGATTTCAATGTATAACAAAATTAACAAGTAATCAATTTCACTGACATTCTATTGACAATGACTCGAATTCTATTACAGAACTATGTCTCTAGAACTTATCATCACTAATTTCTAAAGTTTGACTTACTAATCATTTGAATGATTCACTTTTAAATTCTCATCAACTACCTAACCAATGTTTTGTTATCTGGCATCATAAACAAATTATGCCAATTACACATGAATACACCTGTTCTACACTTATTTTTAAACAATTTCTTTTTATCACAGCCTACAAACTGTTATCGATACTAATTGAATTTACAAAAAAAAACACACAGTTATTCAGTATAATGTTGAACTATTTAAAAATATCTTACATTATGAAGAAGCTGTAAGATCATGTTTTTAATTCAACATGATATATGATACATTTTATTTGAATGTAATATTTTGTTCAATATGATATTTCGTGTTATTCTAATTTCATGTTCTTTCAGAAAAAATACAAGTAATAGTTATGATTTTATATTAAATTTAGTGAAAAAATCCATTTTTGTATTTCTGTATTTTCAATGTTTCTAATTAGATATGATATTGATCGGTATGATCAGTAAAATTAATAGATTAAAATGTTATAATTATGAATTAAGCTAAGCGGAAACACTATTAGTAACATGGAAGCACTGGACCAGCATTTCGTCCTAGTATGGAACTCATCAGCAGTAAGTATTCATGAATCAAGACCTTTTAGTCTTGAGTGCGATTGCTTAACCTCCAGATCACTGAGCCATTATCCAATACTGTCAATGTTCAACTTTGTTAGTTATTTCCATAACTAATTGTAATTATGCTATAACTAATCAATCAAATTATGGTTTAAGCGTTCGCCACGTGATCCGATCTGACGTGTCTGTAAACTATCTTTGTTGTAAATGACCTACTAATTGAAGGACATAATTATCTCATTATTATTGATGTGACTCATAGTTTTATTCATTTCCATAAGACACGCTATATTGGTCGGTATGTTTGCTCGTTTCACTTGATGATTGTAATATCCTCACTTATTTGTATTAATCTAATTGTTTTTAAGTTTAGAAACAGATTAAGTTTAAAACCAAATTGGTCTTGTTTTGAATATAGCTTTCCCATAGATTCTTTACTCGCCAATATTGCGTTTACAGTTCTAGAAATACATCTGTAGGGACAAATTAAATCCTACAACTTCAACCATTCTCTAACGTTGAACAACCTTCAGCCATCGTGTGCGGCGGATAATCATCTCCTATCTGACACGGAATGAATCCCACTAGTCATGACTTTTTACTAGCATTCCAACTTCAACCATGAAAAGAATACAATTTGCACAAATCCCCTTCATTAATAACAATCATGATCTCACTGGTAACTAGCTTCATGATGTATTCTTGGAGTCCTAGTGAGAAATCGTGATCAGTAGAGTTCAATCCGTATCAGGTAGGAGATGGTTATTCATCGCACGCGACGAGTGCAACATCATCGATTGATTGCAGTTAGCCATTGACACCGTTGGATACTAACTCAGTGATCTGGAGGTTCAGCAATCCCACGTGAGACTAAAGGTCTTGGGTCGTGAATGCTTACTGCTGATGAGTTTCACATTACGACAAAATGGTGGTCCAGTGCTTCCAGGTTTCTAATGATGCTCCAGCTTAGCTCACTTCTTAGTTTCAATAATAAAAATAAAATGATCTCCACAAATCACATTCATTAATGAAAATAGATGTATTTTATCAAATTTATCTTAACATTTTTGTAAGGTGAATTAAATCGTCGTCTGCCACATTCAAACTTATCTAATAGATTAGGAATTGTGATTAATTAATTCATTATTCACGTTGAAATAAGTAATATGTCAAAATAATACATGTAACTTATAAATAACAAAATATTTACAAAACTTCAATAAATATTATCATTTACAATTTGTAAGTAATCTTTATCATTTAACTTAGATCAAGAAGCTAAATGAACATTGAAAGCTAGACGATAGACAATAAACAGTAAACTTTTTCTTTGAATAAAGTTGTGTTCATGTATGATCTCAGATTTAAAAAAAAACTGAAATTCGATAATAATTTTATACATTTGAAATCATTAATCAATCATCATTGTTAGACCA